AAAAAGAAACCAAGGACTTTTCATTAAAAATTTTGTTTGTAAGAAAGGAGTTTTCAAATTTGAGCAATTAGCATCATATATTTCAACCTTCGCCGCTGAAGTTGAAGTTCAGTCTCTCCTGCACCACTTATAAAGCCACGTCCTCCACTCCCTCTCCTGCAATTGATAACTTCACAAGTAATTACTCGCCATGTCAATTAATAAAAACCACAAAAAAGGGACAACTTTGGCTTGTTACGGTTTTTGTTATTGCAAAGCTGTAAATGCAGTATACCCTACCCTCTGGCACTAACAACTTCGGATTCTCCTGTAGCACCAAATGTGTAACGTCCATCAAGGCCACGTACACGAACAAGCCTTGACTTTTTATACATCAAAGCAGCCAGTTCAGCCTATAAATAGTAAGAAGGTGTCAAAGCTGAGAAAAGGATTTTTGCTTCATTACAAAGAATAGATACATAGACTAAATAGCAAGTACAGGAAAGAACCAAAAAAGAATAAAAAAAACACACACACAAAGAAAATACAAATTTATGGGAGATTGTATTGAGAAAATATTTCAGCTTTCCAAGTTCTTTAACTTCAATCCTTAATAAGTGGGTACTTATTTGAACATAAAATAAATACAAATTAACAAAGAATAATTGTACAACATAATTTAGCACTCTCGCTCAAATTGGTGAATGAATAATCTCCATTTCCAACTCGCTAACCAAATGCTCAAAATTGTTGTTGTTGTTGTTCAATCCTTTCGTGAGAATATCTGCTATTTGACCGTTCATCTTCCAACTATTCTGACTCTTCTCCTCCCTTTCTTCATCTTTATCCGTGGTGGGTTTGACGCACATGTTGTGGGGGTATGGCGATGGCACTAAATGGCAAGAAGAGCTCGTGAAATTTTTTTATTTTTCCCATGTCCCCAAAGTGTCCCTGCTGTGTCCCCTCGTGCCAATAAACTAAAAAATGAAAAGAAAAATAGGGCACTCTAGTTATCATGTCTGACACGTGTCGGACGTGTTCAAGCATGTCGGTGTCTCCGCTACTTTTTATTTGAATTGATGCAAAAGAAAAAAAAAAAAAAAAAAGGTTGATGCAAGAACAAGGAACTGAAGGCGTAGGTACGAAAATCAAACTTTTGAGCGGTAGGGTCCATTCTAAAGTTCAAGGATAAAAACACATTTAAGCCTAAGAGAGAATATAGGTCAGACCTCAATCTTCGCTCTGCAAATTATAGAGTATTTGTTTCAATGTTGGTCCCTCACATTTTTTCCTTTTTAAATCTATGATAGTTTGTGAACCAAGTCAAAACAATAACAAAATATAAATTGAAACCAATCCCTTTATTCAATGACTGTAAATATAGTTTAGCAAGAAAAAGGCAATGATATATTTAATTGGGCCCATGAGAAAACCTGTAACTTCGCCTCCTTTGTGTAGGCATGAGCATTGAATATCTCTATAATGAGACCCACACGGTCCAGTACAGGTTTCTCCCATGCCCGCTGACATAAAATAGAGGAACATGTTATCAAGATAAAGAATATTGCAAAAAAGGAAATATTGATGACAAGTACAAAGATAAAATACGCACAACCTAAACTTCATCCACAAAAATATGAACGTGTATTGAAGAGCTGTTGTCCATGGTCGAACTAACATGAAGAAGAAAATGAATATAGACAAGATATACCTCCAGATTCCTTTGCTGAATACCAGAGAGAATGGCATTCACAAAAATAGCATCAACTTCACTCTGATAAAATTTTTAACTGAAAAGGTTTAGTGATAACATTGTATACCTAATCACACACAAACATAACCAAAATACCACGTACCTTCGACTCAGTCACATTCAAATGGCATTTGATGGTGTCCACAGTCCCTGGTCCAAAATACGTGTCTGAAAATACAAAACATAATTAGAAAAAGAAAATAAATTAACATGATGCAATGTTTAACCATCTGGATTACAGACGAGCCAATGAACTCAACATTTAAAAATAAAAAAGTCTATCTCTTATAACATTCAATATCAAGGAGGAATTATAACTACTACTTTGTTTTTTTAAAGAAACATGAGGGATGTATAAATCACAAAAAGGAGGAACAGCCTAAGGATAGGGGAAGAGTAAACTCCCTCCCAAAAGAGTAGATTAAAGCATCTTGAAGGATGATAGAGAGAGTAGGTACAAAATAATTTGCTATAAGTGTGGCACCACCAAGAAGCTGTGAGTTGTACATTGTTAAAAAAAGACTAAATTTGTAGACTTATCTTTAGAAGACCTTTGATTTCTTTACAACCAAAGACTCACAGCAAAACTCTAGTCACATATCTCCACAAAATTCTAGTTTTGCTATTGAGCGATGGCTCGTGAAGAGCTTCAATGAGCTAGGCATCTATTTGACTAGGAAAGCAAGTAGATAAACCAAAATCCTTGGGAGGATGGACCAACATCTCAAAGCAAAGAGCCAATGACGAAAGAAATAGTCAAAGGTTTCTTCCCTCAAGAGACATAAGCTGCCCATCGATGAGAAGAGTGCCCAATTTCTACACTTTTTAGGTCCGTAGTAAGTGTTGAGCCCTCTGTGAACCATGAACCAAAGGAACATCTTCACTTTCTTCTAATAGTTGAGCTTCCATAATGACTTCACTAGGGGTGATTTTAAAACAACCCTTAAATTCTGGTAAGATGAGGAAATCTTCTATACAGGGAAGAATCTCCCAACCATACCTCTTTTCAAAAAAATTAAATAAATAAAATACGCCTCCCATTGCCCACTTTGAAAGAATGAACTGCTCCACAGATTTCCAAATCTTTGAAATAGAAAACCAAGGACTTCCATAACAACCCACTGATTTGGCAGCTTTCTTACCACGCTGGCGAAAGGAGCTCCTTGTGCTTTCTAGAGGGGGAAGGTTCACCTTAGCAAAATCAGTGCTCTCAAGCATCCTGTTGTATTATTTTTCGATTTTCAGATGCCCAAAGCAGAGCATATTGAAGCTAGAGAAGCTGTTGGGGGACTTCTTTTAGAAAGTTGGCAAGGAAGGTGGATGTCGAAGTCCTATTTGATGGGAGGTGGTAACTCTGCCTGAAGGGATTAAGCAACTTAGCAAATAGAAACTGTGCCCTTCTAGCCAAATGGGAATGGAGGTTCATGACGGAAAGAGGAGCTTTATGGAGAGGGTGATTGCAAGCAAGTATCATCTTAAGGATAATGAGTGGTGGTCAGAGGTGCAAAATAATGCGAAGTTTAAGGAGCCGTGAGTTCATATCCTTCCTTGTTGTAAGATAGCAGATGAATGGTATAAAGTTAAAGGTGGGTAAGGAGGATAAAGCTCTGTTTTGGCATGACTCTTGGCTTCTAAATGAACCTATATCCAGAGTATACCCATGGCTGTATAGAGTGGCAAATTCATAAGCTTCCACGATAGCTCAATGATGGTTAGAAGAGGGTAGGGGTTGGGATTTGGCCTTTAGAAGGAATTTTGCTAACTTGGAGGTTGAAGAATGGGCTGGGCTGACAAATTTACTTACTGGAGTTTCCTTATCAAACTTAAGTGACAGGAAAGTTTGGTCAGACAACAGTGGCGTCGTTTACAGTCAAATCCTTTATGGCCAATCTTTTACAACAAAACTCGAATGGAGGCAACTTCAAAGGTGGTTTAATCTAGCAACTAGAGGACCCGAAAAAAGTTAAAATATTCCTATGATTGTTGATTCATGGATGGCTAAAAACTTGCAGCAGACTTTTCTTTTTTTCATTTTTTTATAAGAAACTGAACTTTTTATTAAGACAAATGAAAATAGAGAGCATATACAAGGACATACAAAAACAAAAGTCCAGAAGGAGGAGCCCTATCTAAAGAAAGGGCTTCCAATCCAAAAGAATAGAACCTAACTGGTAATTACAAAACACTTTCGAAACAGAACTCCACAAAGAAACATTTAATCTAATGAGATCCCAAACCAACTCTCCATCTCTCTCCACCCCTTAAAGATTCTATTACAGCAAACACCTAATGTTTGCCTTCCCCCAGCTGGTGTGTTTTATGTAAGAAACTTGCAGCAGACTTCAAAAGCAACAGATGCCCAATGTTTGCCTTTCCCCTAGCTGGTGTGTTTTATGTAAGAAGAGTGAATAAGAACAGTGGCACCTGTCCTTCAATTGCCCTTTGCGGCTGCATGTTGGCTTGATATGTTCAGAATTTTCGGCATGAGTTGGGTGTTCCCAAACAATGGTTCTAAGGCTTTTCTTCAACTGCTCCAGGAACCTATTTTCAAGGGCAAGCGAAAGTTCTTTGGTCTAGTGGGATAGTTGGTTTGGTTTGGAGGCTTTGGTATGAAAGAAACAATCGGACTTTCCTTGGAGAAGAATAATAAAGAGACCTGTTTTGGGAGTGTGTTAGAATCTTCGTGTCCTCTTGGACCTCTAGTACTAAGGCTTTTTTTATTTTATTTTTTAATACAATATGTGGGGGTGAGAGATTCGAACTCACGACTTTCTGGTATGACATAAGGTGCCTTTCTTATATGACACAAGGTGTCTTAACCTATTGAGTTATGCTTATGTTAACACTAATGCCTTTGGTAATTATGGTATCTCTAGATCTCACCTGAGCTCTAAACATCTTCACCTAACAATCCTAAAATCTGCACATAAAACAGAGAAAGAGAGGGTAGGAACCTAAATAGTTGATAAAGATGCAGCAATCACCACCAAAAGAACTACAAGAAGAGCAGTTCAGAAAAAGATGATTAATGTGTTCACTTGCTTTGCAACACCATTGGAATCGGAGATATGGTAACATTTGTTGATCTTTCCATGAGCCATGCACTTAGTCGCCGTGTGTTTTTAAATCAATCTAGCTAGGATAGCCAGGCTGAATCCTATAAATAGTAATTCCTAGTTGAGGTTATAAATATTAAAAAGCCTAAGAAAAAATGATGTATTCAAGTGAGGGGGGTTTTTTATTGAATTTACTAAATAATGCTTACAAAGGAAGAAGTAGCTACTAGCTCCTATTTATAAGAGAAGGGCTACGGTAAACAACCTGAAAACTAACTAACAGCTCGCTGATAACTAATTAACAGCTACGTAAAACTTTTAATAAGTAACAACGAATTACCTGTTGTAAGAGAGTCAACTAAAAGTTAAAGGCTGTAAACTAAAGTCTTAAGCTACCAGCTCACAGACCTTTCCAAAAAGATGGAAGAATAACAAGATTACAATCAAGATGTAAAAGAGCAATTCTTGCAATAGAATTCACATCTCAATGACTCACCAGCGCGAGCCCCTCTTGCAGAAGGATTTTGAACTACAACGTGAGGGGGTATTTCCTTGTCAAAGAAATCAGTATCAAAATACCCATCTCGTTGTTCTTCTAGAGAATTTGCAAGACACAAAGCCTCGTTTAGCTTTGCTTCCAGAAACGTATCGGGACGAAGACGAGGTTGAACCACGAAGAGTTTCGCGGGAGCTGTTGGGTCTCTGTTGAAAACGGAAACAACGTCGTTTGTATCTTCCTTCTTCTGCTTGGACGAATTCGAGAATGGCGAAAACAGAATCCAAATCGAAGGTGCCAATAGATTCGAAGGGGAATTAGACGGTGATAGACAGCTCGTTGAGGTGCAACATGCAGAGGCTACATAACGGGCTACAGACTTGATACGAGGTTGCGATAGGGAGATGATTTTCAACATTTGGAAGAACCTGTCGAACAATTTCCCTGGAGTCTCAGTCACTTCCTACAAAGGCAACTCACGCCAGACCAAGTGAGAAGAAGAGGTGGTTAATACTCTGGAGAAAAATATTATTTAAGTTAATTTTTAATTGAATTTGTTTATTTATTACTCTAAAAAGGTTATGTAAATATTTTCATAAAAAGTTTTAAAAAAATAAAAATCAGAATTACTGTTTATAATAAAAATTAAAGACTTTTTTGGACTTTTTAAATTAATTAATACATGTGCAACAACAAAATTAATTTTGGCCAAACCTAAACCAAAATAAGAGTCTCTTTTACAAGAGTGTCGCGTCGGAGATGCTGGTCACAACGTTGAGACTAAAGTTTTAAATGTCGATGTGGATGGAAATGTCGAAGTCTCAATTTCATGAAAATATCGATAAAATATCAATGTCGATTGATATTTCTGAAAATTTTGGAAAAATTAAAAAAATCCTAAAAAATTTAAAATAAACATTTTCTCATTTCTAAATTAGTTAAAAATAGTTAATATTAATATTATATATATATTAGTGACATTTTGTTGATATTTTTCATATTTCTATCGATTTTTTTGTAATACGATGGAAACATCAATTCACCCCTCGTGTCGATGTCGAACCTATAGAAATATACATATGTCGATGGAAATGTCGATGTGTGTATTTAGAATAATAATTGGGACACTACAAATACCACAATGTCAAAATGAGATGCGCGACATTTTTTTTCTTGATTTTTTGCGATCACAACATATTTTTTTCGATTTTTTATGACAGCGTCATGGTGCTGCACTTTTGGCTGGCTAAAAGGCCCAAACACCTTTTTCATATTCCATCTCCCATGTTTTGGCTTCACCAATTCTAAGACATACAACATATTATATACACATATTTTCATATAACATTACGGAAAGAGACGATGCAAGTAGAAGTGAAAGTAAGAATACATGTGTTAAGGATCTCACATTGATAAAAGAATGTCATTGCAAATTGATTTTGAGATGAAACTCTAGAATATTAATATGGTATCAAAGCTCAAACGAGCATTCGATCTAGACCAAGTCAAATTTGAAAACATTTAAGTTGTATCATTTTTGTAAAATTGTTGTTATATACAATAAAAATAATTTGTCATAGCTAACATGAACATAGTTGAAACAGTAATTGACATGCACTCTATATATTCTTCGAATTCGAAAGTTTAATCCTCATATTTTCCAAATGGCTGTATTAAACAAAATAAAGATAATTTGCCATAAAATTTAAAATGAACTCCCGTAGCTACAACATAGAATACATACATATTTTTATTTTTTCAAGCAGAAGCAAAAGTAGAGAGGGGAATCCATATACGATGAGTGAATGGGAATATATGGCAGAGGGGGATGGTCCCTGGTTTGGCCTTGAGCACTCGAAAGGCGCGATGGTTTGGATTAAAGCCCAACGTATCCATGTGGCAAGTAGCCAGAATTTGGATTTGGTCACCATTTTCACCTTCCATTGCACACTGGAACACCTTGGTGTGGCTCAGCCGAGAGTGGCAGTAGTGAACCGCATAAGGATAGGCCATTATGTGGCAAGCGAAGTAGTTAGAGACTTTGATTTCATTAGGCATTTGGAGGAGCGTGTAGTTTTGGAGATTATTGGTGGGGCTGGGGGATTTTGATTTCTTGAGAAGGGTAGTGGCCAGAAATTTGACACTACTGCCCAAGGCAGAGCAGGCTAACTCTGCCATGGATTCCATGGAGGTACTGCAAAACTTGGTCTCTCCCACAAGGGGTTCGCGTTCACACTCACGGAGCGTAAGTTCCACAGCATGCGCTTGGGGGGAGCCTGAGGGGATGGAGAAGAAATCGAGGATTTGAGGGAGTTGTTTGAGCGAGAAAGGGATTGAATCGGTAATTTCTTTGGGCAACGATAGAGGAGGGGTCGAAGGAGGTAAATAGAAAGGGATTTTTTTGCCTATTTTCAAATCAGTGGTGGTGAAGTACAGCATATCTCTAGCGTCTTCCATGTGCTCTTTTGTTGAGCCTAATATGGCACCTGCAGACTAATCAAACCTTAAATTAAATCAAATGAGATTTATGTATGTAAAAGTAAATGAAAGGATTGGGAAGGGGGAGAAGTTGGTTACCAACAGAAGCGATCGAGAACAAAGTGATGTAGCAGACACAAACAGGCACCAGCTTCGTCATGTCTTGTCTTTCAATAACTAACTAACTAACTTCACTGAAAACTGAGTTCCTTTATTTTCCTTGTTCGATGAGTTTGGTGTGAGAGGGAAGGGAACAATGACATATTCATACCTATATAATATTTATATATATATAGACACAGACACAGAGAAGGTATATATTGTAGAGACATGGGAATCCACTTTAATTCGTGGCAAAAGCATGGTGCCAACTGCCAAGTACTGAGTTATTTATTTATTTATTTATTTATTTATTTTTTGGGTGACAATTTATGCCATTTGAAAATGAGGGGCACAAAATACATCCGCCACCACCTCAATACTTGGCACGCGACTTTGCCACGAATTGCCAATATTAAATTACACTTTTTGTGGTTTAGTACAATATGTGGGGTAGGGAATCGAATTCAGAATTTATTGGTTGGAGAAATATGTCAATCATTGCTGAACTATATCCATTTTGCCAGTATTAAAATACACTCGAAAATATATAATTGGTTTAAAATTAATATGGGTAAGTAAAACCGGATTTTTTGTTTTTGTAAATAATGTTTTATTTAAGATTTATTTCCAAACATATTAAAAAATAATACATTCCTCCCAAACTTATTTAAAAAATAATATGTTTGAAATTGGTACCACCACTTGGTCTCATTCCACTTAGTATTTATAAGACGTGGTGTTCTCTTGACGCCACATTTAATTTTTTTAGAAACTTGGAATATGGTACGAGACGACTATTTATGTAATCGTCTTTTCAAGAAACGACCATATTTTGACCTTTATTTTCAAAAAGAAAAATAAAACATTAACGACTATGTTATACATTAAATAATAGCATTGTATTAATTAAATTATTTGTTGGCACAATCGAACTGGAGTCCAACCTGACCTCTTGGTCATAGAGAGTTGTCTGAATTAATCTCATGTTGGCATTATTCGAATCATTTACCCAAAATATTTTATAACAAAAAAAGTAAATGATAATATCTTCAATATTTATTTATATATTGTCTAACATTAAATTAAAATCCTTAAATCGATATATATATATATATATATTAAAAAACTATCATAGAATAAATATTCATAAAGAATTATCGAATGAAATAAAACTAAAGTAAATATAACTTATATATTTTTAACGGTGAGTAGAACTAGTTTTACAATTAATAATAAATTCGAGTTTATTCTATTTAACTCAAATATATTTTGGATAAACCTTTAAATCAATCTCACTCATAGAACTCTATTTATTTTAATTCAACTCAATCCAATACGATTTGAGTCGGATTGGTCGATACTTTTCAGATCATCAAATTGTCTAGACATAATTAGACGCGAAAGAGTGGGAGTGGTGAAGCAAGAGAGAGGGGAAGAAGCCTGAAACAGAGTAGTTGTTGCATTATTTATTATGTGCATTTTGCAAGTATCAAGTTGCTGTGGTGTAGTGGTTATCACGTTAGTCTTACACACTAAAGGTCCCCAGTTCGATCCTGGGCAGCAACATTATCCTTTTATTTTTAACATTTTCTGCGAATTTCCCAAATTTTGTTCCTTAACTTTTTGCACTTTCTGAAATGGGAGATCTGCAAATTTCTCAAATTTTGTTCCTTAATTTTTTACACTTTCTGAAACGAAAAATTGTATTTTATTAATTCGAAATCTATTAATATTTGTACGAGCTTAATTCAACTACAATTGGTATCCATCTCCAACAAAAAGTAAAAAAAAGTCCAAAACAACCTCAAAAGTTTGGAACAAATTTGTACCCAGTAGTTAAACATAAGATTTAAAACTTTCAACAAATAGAGAAAACAGGTTTGTAGTTCAAAGTACGAAGTATATTTCTTTTTCCCTTTTTTGTATTTTGAAGGGTATGAAGTATTATCCCAAAAGAAAAAAATAAAAAATGAAGATATTGTAGGGAGTAGATTTCCACTTATCTGCGACATCACGAGATTTAGGTAGCATGGCTGAATGTCGAGTGATTTCTTTGACATAATTTGAGTGATAAAACAGTCGTCAGTTAAATATTAATACTATTTTATACATATAAACAGATTATACGTCCATGAGCTTATTACTTCCAAAAGCCTAGAATACAAAGACAACAATGTATTTTATTTGTATCTTCTTTGTTGTGTTGAGAATGGGGGAGTAGTTTCCACTTTCCAGCAACAGAATATGATCATCAGAAGACGAGAACACACAGAATGACACAGCAGAGGAGGAATATGGAGATTCTGTTCAATGACTTGGATGCCTGCATTTCCTGTCTTCTCAACCGGTTACTGCTGCTCCCTGTTACATGGTAAGAGTTTCGATAAGAATACAAGTTTTCCGAGTTCCCGAACACCCTCGTATACATCAAGTCGCCGATCATCCCGACCACTGGATGGTGAAAATTGCTAAATGAAGTTCTTGCAAGGTTCAGCAATGGAGCTGCTGATGAGTCTTCTTCATAATTGCTGAAAAGAAGAGGGTCATGGTTTGGTCGCTGGTAAGGATTTCGATATGGAAGCTGCTGCTGTTGGTGGTCTATGCTGGGAGTAGCAAGCATATGGTTACCACAAGCTGATGGTCTTGGAGGTATATCAATGTCTCGATGGATTGCTTTGGCCTCCGGCTCGACTTCCTCGGCAGATTGGCCACGGCCGTAGAGAGGAACCATTGTGGTGTGGGAAATATCAGCCTTGCAAACAGGGCATTGCGGGTGCTCATCAGTGGCAAGAGAGGCACTCTGGACGTGGAGCCATTTATAGATGCAAGGCCAGCAGTACAAGTGGCCGCACAGAGTGACCACTGGCTCATGGGCAAAGTCTAAGCATATGTTACAATCAAAGCAACCTTTGTAGTTTTCTCGATCTGTTCCCCCTGTACTAGAGACGTGTTGTTTCCATCCATGCGCATAGTACTGCTCAAAGGCCATGGATTGCTCAAGCAACTCCAGTTATTTCCTGGATAAACGTGCAAATAAATTAGATGCACAATTAGAAGCTAAGGCTAAGGTTAGAGGGAAGGAAGTCAATGACAACAGATCATTTAACAGAAGGTTGGTGAGCCATTTAAGGTACCTAAACCCCAACAGGAAGTAACCAAACATGTGACCGACTTAATTACAGAAAAAGTTGGTGCCCATCCTGTAAGATTTTAATTACTTAATACCAACCACAAAATGAAATAGAATTGGAAACTATTGCTAGGTTAGAGAGAGGGTGGATAAAACAATAAAACAACTAAACCAACCACATCATTGAGTAGGTAGAAGTGAACTTAAATCCGAAGCGCTTTAAATCGATTTGCCTGATGTGGTTAGTTCTGAGAATTTGTATAACTTCATCAGCTAGAGCAATAACATCTAATAACAGCTATATGAATGCATTAGCAATTAATTTAGCCAACTAGTAACCTCTTAGTTGTAGTCGTTTTCATCTAGTTGTATAAAATGTCATTTACTCACCCCAAACTTAGTAGTTGTCTCTTAGAGCTTACCATGGGACATAATACATCAGCAACACCCAAAAAAGAAGACTACATTATTTACTGATATACCAAATGAATAAATACAGAAGAGAAGAGAGAACCTTAATGTTAAATAAAGATTTAATTAGTTGGCGAAAAAGAAAAAATATAATCATGCTAACTTAAGTATGCTCAATTGGTTAAATATGTAACCTCTGCGAAAGGTCAAAAATTCAAATTCCTACCTCAACCTCACACCTGGTTGAACTCAAAAARAAAAAAAAAAAAAAAAAAAAAAATCTTGGCACATGGTCCTCCACCTCCTAAGTCCGCTTCAATTAATTCATTACCCTTCCGTTCAATTCTACTTCCTTCCAGAATTGCATTTATTTGAAGTAAATTGCACATTATGGAAAATGGAAGCAGTTAACTGCTAGGAATCTTCATGAAAACCCCCATCTCCGTATTCATATTTGGAACGGCAATCAATCCAAGTATCTGGCACTACAATGTCTCCAACCCTGAGCTCTATTACTTGCAATCTAGCACCAGGATCATGATTTGTAGCAAATACAAACTTCAACAGCATGAAAGTCACAACTTAATAGCTTATGTTCTAGAAACAAAAGTCTTTCTAGATTATGACCCAAATTCATCATCACAAGAGACCATAACAACCTATCATTTTGAACAACTATATATATTTAAAATGAACTTAACTTCGACACATATGTAGTCCTAGTTCAATGATGACGCCGGCCCATAAATAAAAAACATGAGATGGAGAAAATTTGACCTATCTGCACAAATTCATGAATATGCAAGCAGAAACATTATCATTTATCAGATATCAACTTCAGAATCGAGATTATTATTACTCTGAAATTCTGGATCACTCGTAGAGTGTAGACATCACTTTTCCCTTTCCCTCCCCTGTTCAGTGTTTAGGGCTCCATCTAGAAATGAAAATTACAAACAGAACAACAAGTGGTCACTCCATATAAAACTGAATCACCTTCCAGCTTTCCTCAAAAGAACCCAAATGAATTGGAATTACCATCCGAACAGCCAAATACGCATTCCCAATTCTCAAAATTAAAACAAATCATATCAAAAAGCCGAAGCTTCCATGGCTTCTCTCGACCAATTAAAGCCATAAAAAAGTTGATCGAAAACGAGAAATGCCACCAGGAAATCCAAGAAATCGAGAAAGACTAAAACAATTGGAAAGAAGAGTCGAAACTTCCACCTCCATGTGCACAATCACAGCGAAAGAAAAGTTGAGAAGAGAGAACAAAAAAAAAAAAAGTCGAGAACGATTCTCGAAAGTTGAGATTCAGTGGTTCACCTGAGAGAGAGAATTCCAGGAAAAGCGGCAATGTTAACGAAAAATGAAAAGGGAAACGGAGAAAAGGGTTGGAGGAGGGCGGGAGCAGTTGGAAATTATTGAGCGTCCCCACGGGATTTTATTGACGAACTTCCGTTTCTTTAACCATTCTAATGGGCCCCACATTTGCTGACGTGGCTTCATCTCGCATCATACTCTCTCTGTTTTTCTGTTTTTCTTGTTACTTGTTAGCTATTGGATATTTATTTAACTTCTTCTCTCTAAATTTTCCAATTATCTATTTTAATCTCTCAATTATTTATTTATTTATATATATATTATTTTAATCTATAAGTTTTTAGATTGTCTACCGTGATCTATTACTAATCCGCACGTATGTAATTTTTTAACTAAAAGAGAGCATTTTGATTTTTACTATTATTCTATCATTCGGTGACTACTCTATCCGATTTGTTTAAATTAGTACTAAATTTCCCTTTAAAATTGTCTATTAGAGGATTTGAACTCATTCCATCTTAGTCACCCATGATGGTTAATATAATATCATATCTCCATATTATTAGATATAAGGTATTAATTTTTCTTCAACATGTCTGACATTTCACATATTTATAGGTTTGACATGGACATAAAGGATAAATTGATAAATTTCATAATTTCAAAACAAAAAAAAAACAAAAACAAAAGCAAAAAAATACAAACGTATCCAACAAAATTCACTATCAATGTAATATTAAGATTAATAATAATGAAATGGTTATCTTTAAAATTTAAATATTTATTTTTTATTTTATAATATGTTTAAAAATATTTATCGACATCAACATTTTATTAATATTTTTATGAAATTGAGATCTCAAAGTATTTCTATCAAATACTGACACTCCAAACCGACACTTCAAACCTTAGTTTGATATTGGCTCATTTGAGGATCAGAGTACGTGTCAAAAAGGCTAAAAGCCATCCTTTGCCAATTAATATATTTTTAAAAGCATGTTATTTGTGACTAGTTACTATAAACTGAATATATAATAAAATATTGTTGACGTTAATTAGTATTGTATATTTTTTTTTATTTGAACAATATTTTAGAAACTAATAAAAAAATATATGAATATCAATAAATAACATATTTATTATCATTTAAAAAATAGAGCTGATCCTCGTAATTATTGAAGTCAAAAAAATTTAAAAAAAAATCGAAAGAAGTAACATAAACATCACTGATTATAATTATGTAAAAATATATAATCATCATTTTATCTGTAAGGTGTATATTAATTGCAACTGTGTTTTTGTGTTCAATATAATCTATTACTTCTTTGTTGATCATATATATATTTTTTAATTAAGAGGCGATTAGAGAGTACTTCAAATATTTCTGGAAGCAAACAAGTGTGTTCGAAGGGTATAAATTTCACGATTTTTGTTTTGAAATATATGACTTAACTTCTATATTTAATAAATAAATAAATAAATATATATATATATATTAAAAAAATTAGAAATACTATATTATAATTACTTCTTATAAACAAAAATTTATAAATATTTTTAAAAGTACACCATCACCTTATCCTTATGGGCATAATCTTTTCCTCTTGTTTGTATCAACTTTGATAAAATAATGAATCTATATCATGTTTGTTTGTATATTATGGGTAATTTTACAACTTTTTAAGCCTAGATTGATCCTTTTAGTTCATGAAATTTAAATTTAAATTTTATATAGTTTTATTTGATTTCTTAAATTCTATATAAAAATAGTTTTTTAATTTCAATATTACAAGATAGATGAAGACTCAAACATTCAACTTAAAATAGTTATTAATATCCTAACTTTTTTTTTTACATAGTAACTAATTAACTTAATCTTTAAAATTTCTTCATTGATTTAACAAAACTAAAAATAAAAATTAGAAGAAATAACAAAAATATCACGAAAGAGAATATGTATTTATATATAACATCAAGTTTAAAATTTTACAAAGATAACATAAATTACAAATTTATACATTAAAAAAACAAAAAGTAATTATATTTCTATGAATATATATTTATTTTATGTCATTTAGTCTAATTTCTCTAGAGGTATATAACATCTAGTAAATTTGTATTTTTTTCACATGTTAGATATTAAAATAATAATTTAGCTACATTAATTTATTATTATAAAGTTATGATTTAGCCTTATTTAAATATAATTTCGAAGGAAACAACAAGGAGGATGGTTCATATAGTGTTATACCATGCGAGACAAAATTTGTTGATCTATTTTATTAAAATTACGTAATTCTGCCTACCCTAAAAAAGTTACGTAATTTTATAATAAAGTTTGTGTTTGATTAAAAAATAATTGTAATACTTTATGTGCCGTCGTGGAATGGAACCGATCTGTTGCAGTTCTTCTAGAAGCAAGATTTTATATTACCTCCAAATCAACTAATGAAAGAAAAATATATATTTAAAATTTAATAAAAAAAACAACAACCCATTGACAGCACAAAATACAAAGTAAAAAATAATAACCTAAATAAAATTTCACGATATGATAGGGAATTGAGTATTGGTGGAGACGTCGAAGTTCTTTTTAGTACAAGTGGGGATCATCGAGAATTGAAACTTGTGATGTATCGATCAAAGACAGTTGACAATTATCTTTGAGCTAAACTTACATTGTGATTTGATTTTAATAATTTTTTTAATTATAATAAATAATTATTTATTAGTGGACTCTACATTATTTTTTAATAAAATATTGTGAAATATTCATATTTAAAAAATCTCTAAAAGAATAATTGAAGAGTTAAGTCTCATAATTTATCCTTATTTCACCCACTAAAAAAAAAGGTCGTTGCCTACCAAATCATTGCATATTGAATATGGTAAAGAAAAAGACAATTTGTGACGTTGGACATAAGGGTTCAAATTTCCAAATCGTAGAGACCAAATTATAACTTTTATAACTAGTAAAACCAAATTAAAACTATGATGAAACCATCCGGATTAAATTTTTAAATAAACCAAAATATAATTAAAAATGCAAATTAATTTTTTTTGTTTGAGAAAAATAAAAAATAAATAGACTGTCTACATTAAATTTTTAATCTTAATCATGAATTATTGAAGAAAAATATTTCAATGCTGCTTTCAAAGGTAAATTAACTATTTGCTTCTGTCAAAAGAAAAATGATCAAACTCATTTAATAATTGATCTTTTGAAAATAATCGAGATGGCCACCACCTATGGCCTAACTTCTATAAATTCTTTAATAGAAAGGAAGAAAAAGTTAACAATCTTTTTAATATTAATATTGTAATTAATATTTTCTCCCCCCTTATTGGACCAAAATGTTATAATTCTTTTAAAATTTGAAACTAACTTGACTTTAGGTCAAAAGGGCAATACGAACTTTGATATATAAAAGATTCAATCAATCAATCTTACCAGATTCTAGATCCAAATTATTGGATTTGAAATTATGAATGGAAATATAATTATTAAATAAAAATACATTTGGCTTGAAATGGTTGATTCTACCGTATCATTTAGACATATTAAACTTGAATATAGCTCATTTGATTAAGATATTTATATCCGATTAAGTCGTGAGTTCGAATATTCTACCTTCACATGTTGACTAAAAAAATAATACAATTTCTACGTATTTATGTATTTTTTTTCCTTTGTGATGCAAATTCATATAAGTTGCATGCAATTGGAAAATTTGAGATAGAATTAAAGTAAAATTTCAATATTATGAGAACTTAAATGGTTAAGAAATATGAATATTGTGAAAAAAAGATTGTGTTTTGTTTTGTTATTAATTTTTTTTTACTAGTGTTTTATTTTTTACTGTTAAGAAATATGAATATAATTCACATGACCATGATTGTACAAGTACAAATATTTTCCAATGGCTATTTGACTTTATTAAGGTATCAAATTCAAAATTGGTGACTATTATGATTTTGAACCCATTTTCAGGATTTTAGTATTATTATTGGCCAATGATGCGGGGTGGGACGTATTCCCTCTCCGTTCCCATTTAGGTGGCGCAGAAAAATTATCCCCATTCTTACTTTGCGTCGAGTCTAAATAGAGATTCAAACTCACAACCTTCGAACATAAATATTTTAACTTATTGAACTAGATTCAAGTTTGCGATTTCTTTAAATGTTCAATTTTATGGAAATAAAATATTAAAAAAATGTCAATGTCAATGAATAATTTTTTAAATATTATAAAAAAATCGGTAACTTATTTAGATAGCAATTATGTTAAATGTCTGACAAAAATATTTTTTAAACTAATAAATAAGCATTTCAACCTAAAGTAATTAATATTATAATATTAGGTCTATATTAAGAAATTAATATTATAATATTAGGTCTATATTAAGAATGTTTTGTTGATACTTTCCATATTTTTTATTCTTTTTACAACTGCAGCGATAGTTTTCATATTTTTTAATTTTTTGAATTTTTTTTTTACAATACTATACAACTGCCAAAATAGTTGAACAATTATTTTTTGCTTGTTTGTACGTACGAAATATTATTCACTTCACAGTACTAATTAAGAAATTGCTAACGGTTCTACCAAAAATCGATTAATATTTATGGAAAAAGTCGATGAAACTTGAAGTTGCAAGTTCCCTTTTTCAGTATATATTAAATTCAACTCAAAATTAAAGGCCTTCATATCATATACTATAATTTTGTTGCAGGAAAATAGAAAATGAGGGCCAAATCCCATCTACTAACATATAACATGAAGATATTCAGTGCCTGTTGCACAAATTCACAATAGATTTCATCTACATTAGGGAAAAAAAAAACTCGTTAGACTCATCATCGTATATCGGTAATCCATAATCTGGAGATACTGAAACAAATATAAAAGTAAAGTTTTTTTTGTAAGAAAAGTGTTCTATGGACAAAAGGGTTAAAACACCTACACACGACCTAACAAATCAATTTTTCCAGACGTG